CTGCACTGGAACTCAGCCTCAGTGCACGTGGAGCACCTGCACCCTGAAAAACTGTGGGGCTGACTCTACATGTGCTGCACACTGAACAGAGCTTGGGCAGCTTGGGAAGTTTAAGAAGATTCTTTGTGTATTTGGTGTTTATTTGCTGTTAACTGTGAAAACCCCATGATTTTTCCTACCTTATTTATTATAAAACTTAAAAATGCATATTCAATATAGAAGGTGGGACATCTTCCATTGGCATCTGCTTGGAAAACCTCAGGCCTTTCCAAACGTGCCCTAAACCTCTTGATTTCATAACAGCAGAATCTGCCATTTTATTTGCTTAGAACTAAAGGTTGAGAGAAGAACTTGCTGTTCTTGGACATAGGCTAAAGAGATTATTTGATTTGGGTTTTTTTTTTAGAAAGGTTGAGATATAAAATCCTTGTTTCCTGGATTGAGAAAGATCAGACAAGGCTCTGTGTGTTTGYAAATGTTTTGCATTCCACAGTGTCCTTCACTCATTAACCAGGTGGAAATCGTAGGAAGGCAATGAAATAGCACATGGAATTCCTTAGAGGAAACACATTTGATGTAAACTCAACTGAAGCAGCACTTCAGAAGAGACACATTGGTAGCAGTGATSAATTTGCAGGTTTATCAGAGTTGTGCTGCCTTTCTGGAGGTTTCAGTTGGAAATTCTCCCACTGATTGAACAGGTTGTTGTTGCAGTGGATGTTAAGGGTGAATGTTTTCAGCAACAGCTTCATTTTGGGGTTTTGAGGTGGAGAAGCGACCTGGGAGCTCAGCTCCACGTGCAGAGCCGGGGTGCAGGGTTTGCAGCAGAGAATTCCTCCTGCCAGGCTGTAATCTGGGGATAATGGGAACCCTGACGCACGAGCTGGGCCCCGGCTCTGCGCTGGCACTGCCATCGCCGTGACAAACGTGCCAGCTGAGCTCTGTCAGGCACAACATAATGGCTTTGTGTATCTTGTCAGGAGATTTGTTCCTCAGGATAAAATATGGGACCTGCAAGTAACACACAGGCAAACATTAACATGCTCGTTCCTTGTTCCTCCTGGGTTATTTATGGCTCCGTGTTTACACCAGGATGCTGYGGCATCGAATGCGTTTCATCAAATTATCAGCTGGCATTAGGAGGCCTCGTGTTGGGGTGGTCAATAGCCATGGAAACCACTCAGAAAATAGAACCGTGTCTGTCAGCACCAACTGCCCCACAAGCCATGGGATTTCCTAAAGCTGCTTCACAGCCCTCATTATCCACAGCACTTTTTTAATTGTGCCACAGTTTGTCTTCAGCGAGCGGCGCAAACAATGATGCTGACAGAATCCTGTCATAAGCRATGTTTTAAAGTTAAACAGAAGTGCTAAAATTGAAGTGTTTGTCCTAAAAATCCAAATTATGTACTTGTAGAAATTAAAGCATTGTGCTGCAGAGCCACTTGCACTTGTTATCCAAGCTCCTGCTCCYGCAGCCCTGTGTATCTTGTCTGTGGTGAGGCTATTTTAGCCTGGCAGCTGTCGCTCCCAGATGCCTCCTGTGAGCAGTGCAGCATCTCCTGCAGCATTAGCACACGGACGGGGAATTTGGTGCATGTCATTTGTGCACAGGAGAGCAAACTGAACCCGTGTCAGGCAGTCTGCTTTGTGAGACGCYGGGGAGCAACAGGTCACCTCTGGTTTGGTGTGCAACTCTTTAGTGCTTTCATATTTTAAACCAGTTTGAGGTCTCTGTTGGGTTTGACTCTGAGAAAAGGAATGGCTGTTCTTGCTGCAGGCCAAGGGAGGCCAGAACACTGAATTAATAGAAGACTAGAATAGGAAGGAAAATCTGAAAATGTTTTAAAAAGACATACTGTTAAGCTTTAGAATTTCTGTCTGAGTTTCTGAAATTATTTTTTGTGTGCTTTGTTGTTATTTGTATATTAAGAAGTGTCTCTTTTGCCTTTCCAAGGGGCACAACGCTCCTTTATAGTTGGATATCTCAGAGTGCCTCAGTGGCCCAGAGATAATGCTGCACAGCATCAATAAAAGTGTCGGCAGGATTGGTCACAAGGATTGACTTCATTCCTGCTTGGAAATTTGGAACAGCATTTCGAGGTCCCTCTAATTCTGTTTTTCAGATGGGCTCTGTGCTTGCCTTGCATTCCCAGTAGGGATGTYGGACATCCCAGGGGTTCAAAGGAAAACACTTTGTCATAGGCTTTTATAATAGAGTTGAATCACAAGAGAATACAAATGTAACATGGTTTGGTTGAAAGGAATCTTAAAAAATAAATTAAATGATCCCCTAAGAATTCAAGTGCCCCATAGTAAGTCTGGCAAAATAAGGAATAGGATTTGGGCGTTCTTATTTCATGCCACGGACCAGATTGCGCTCTCCTGCTGCCCTGAGCTGTTCCATCGTTGGCTGGAGTGTTCCAGCTCTGGTTTATCTCTATTCCCTGCAGCTTTTTCTGTCACTTTTTGCCGTGTATGCTGTGAGCTGACGCTGCAGAGGCACTGTCCCTCTGGTAAGCCCAGGAGGCAGCGAGGGTTGGGACTGAGAGCATCCTGCAGTTCTTTTGGAGTGCCTGCCTTTGGGTGTTTCTCCAGTTGGTTTCCATTCGTTGTGTCAGGCTGCAGCCAGGGATTGCATCGCTCTTCAGGATGTTGGGAATGCTTTTGGGGTGCACGTGTTTGTCACTTTTGTCACTGATGCTGCCACCTTCTCGTGCCCAGAGCACCAGCCAGAGGTTTGTGGTGTCAGGACAGTGATCCTCCTTCCTCCAGCATACTGAGAATTCCTTGGGGAAATTCTCATGGTGAAAACCAGGAGTGCTCTGTGAGCACTCTGTACCCTGCTCTGTGGGTATTTGTGTGACTTCTGCCAATGTTTGGGCGCTGGAACCTCACTCTCAGTGAAATTCTCCGTGTTTGGGAGCCCTTGAACAGTGAGATTTCGGGTGCTGTGTTGGCAGGTTTGGAAGGAGCAGGTGGGAGTGAGTAAACCAGCACTGGAAAGGACTGACTGTAATCTCCAAGCCTTTACAAGYGGTGGTTAATTGTCGTCTCCGTGCCCCCGGGCACGTTCTTGGCGAACTCTGCAGTCTTGCTGGTTTTGAGGGTCAGGGTTAGGCGAGGACAGATCCCTGTGCGAGCAAACCTGCAAGAACCCTGACAGGAGGTTCCAAGGAGCTTCTTCTCTCACATCCAGGGTTGTGGTGGGAKCTGCTGAGGTTCTGAGAGCGYTGTTTGAGCAGGAATTAACCTTTCYGGGATCCCAAATGCCCTTCACAACGTGGCAGCCTCTGATCGCTGCCCACCTCCTTCAGGCAGATGTTTGCAAAAAGATGTGATCCAAAATACATGAAGCCAGCTCAAGGCTYGTTTCTCTTTAGGGAATTATAAAATCTCATCTCTCTCTCTTTCCTAGAATATTAGGGCCCACATAACCAACATCCCTTATCTTTTTTGCAGGCRGAATTTGTTATTTACTCATTGTTTATACCTGTATACAGTGTTTATAGGAAAGGAAAAAGCCTTTTTTTTTTTCGCTTCTCTCTATTTAGAGGATTATGAATTCTCATTTCCCTCCTTTCCCTACAATACTAGGGCCCACATACTCAACATCCCTTACCGGTTTTTCAGGCAGAATTTATTATTTGCTTGTTGTTTATACCTGAGTACAGTGTTTATAGGAAAGGAGAAAGCCTTTTTATTTTGGTGTTCGTAGCAAAGGAGAAAGTCCTTGTCTAGAAGGACTGTCCCTTCCGTAGAAAGGCACTTTTGTTTAATGTTAAATCCCTGGCGCTGGTTCGTGCTGRGGGCCGTGAGAGGGTCGTGGCCGTGTCCCATGGCGGGGACAGGGCCCGGTGCCAGCCGGGCACGGCTGTGCTGAGGGAAAGGACCGGGGAGAGGCCGAGCAGGAGCGGGAGGAGAGCAGGGAGCGGTGCCGGCCGGAGGCTGCTCGGGGCTGGGGAGCTGCTGAGGGCACGGCTGGAACCGGGGAACCGCGGCTGCTGAGGGCACAACCGGGGCTGTCGGGGACCCTCTGCTGCTGAGGGCACAGCCGAGATCGGGGAGCCGCGGCTGCTGAGAGGCACAACCGGGGAGCCGAGGCTGCTGAGGGCACGGCCGGGGAGCCGAGGCTGCTGAGGGCACGGCCGGGGAGCTGCTGTTGAGGGCACGGCCGGGGCTGTCGGGGACCCTCTGCTGCTGAGGGGCACAACCGAGATCGGGGAACTGCTGCTGAGGGCACGGCTGGAACCCGGGAGCCGCTGCTGCTGAGGGCACAGCCTGGGAGCTGCTGTTGAGGGCACGGCCGGGGCTATCGGGGAGCCGCTGCTGCTGAGAGGCACAACCGGGGAGCCGAGG